AATTTTAACAATTAATTCCTACAATTTAATAGCTAAGTTTAATGTAACTTAATGACTAATTTCAATTTTTTCTTTCTTTGATATCCACAAAAAATTATAATTCCAAAGTAAATGTGTTTTATAAACTTTTAACGGTTTGAAAAACATATATTTTATTTATTAGACCCAACAATATACTATACAAAAAAAAATTAAAACTTTAGATAGATAACTACGATTTTAAAACAAAATATCACAAAAAGCTTTAATAAAAAGAATCGTAAAATAAAAAAAAAAAAATGGTGTGAAAATTAATTAGTAATTTTAGGAATTTTAATGTTGTTGGAATGCTAAAGTTGTCAATCATCTCATAACCAATACTCTCAAAAAGAAACCTTACTCTTCCACAAATTGTGAATCCAGAAAAACATAATAATTTACAAATGAATCAATGTTAAAGATAAAAATCGTAGAAAAGCGATAAAAAGATTGAGACAAAAAAATACAATCAACATCAATTATTCTTTCCTTATAATTTAAGGTTCTAACGAAATAAAACACAAAGATGCATTTTAACATCTCTGTTGATATTATGTAGATGTCTCGATAGAAGCAAAAATACTACAACTGGTCAAATCAATTTTATTTTTTTACAAACGTATTTGATGCAAAAAAAGACGACCAATCATTTTTTAGGGAACCGTAGTGAATATTGATAAATTAAAAGACATACAAATTGCGGAGTTGTGCAAAAGAAGATATCTTTCATATGCATACGCTACAATTTTTATTAATAAACAGTCTATTTTTTTCACATATAAGATTCTATATGTCTAACTATTTGCTCCAAATGCTTAATCTTCTAACTTAGATAATTATTTAGTACAACAACATTTTTTTGTAATATTAAATACATAAATAATCAATAAGCTAAAACTGTTGCATATTTTATCATGTTAATTTTTAAATCCACGCAAAGCGTGGATAATCTCTAGTTATTGATATTGTGTGCATTTATTCTTAACTTTTTTAATTAAAATATATTAATTGCAACTATAAAGTTAGAAATTTATATAACAATGCAAAAATGGTATCAAATGGGTTAAGAAAAAAAAACATATAAATTTGAAATTCTGATGGAACCATTAACCAAAATCAATTTGTATGATATCATTTCTAAACTTTAAAACTAAACTAAAAAGCATATATACGATTTTTTATCAATTAAACTAATTATATAAAATTTGGAGTTCTAAAAATATGGATGTAAAGAGGAGGCCTTAGGCGGTTGCCTTTTTTTTTAATAGGAAAGGCACGATCTTGCTAGTGGTAACACAAGAGAGTTGGTTTTTTTGTGCAATAAGTTTAAAACTTTTTTGATTATTCTTTAAATAAAAATATATAAAGGCTTACTCCAGGTATTGAAAAGATTATGAGCCAAATATTCAGAAAAGAAAAAAAAGACATGGAGAGAAAAAAAAATATTCAGCTTCTTATATGGATAAGGTGTAAAATCTCATTTATTTGTGGAATGGATGTTTCTTTGTATTGTTTTTTTACCAAAACGCCAACCTGCGATTTTTATTTTTATTTAACATTACACAACTTTTTCAATTGGTTAAAAGTGCATGTTAGCAATCGAAGCTATTATTGCAATGTTTGGATATAAAGGCATGTACCAAAGGTGCATTTGCTCTGAGTCCAAATCTTTTTGCAAGTTTTTGGATAGATTTTAGGACCCGTTTAATTTGGTTTTTTAAGCTTTTTACAAATTTGTTTAATATTTTCATAAAATTACACTAATTTGCACTGGACCCTCTTATTTTTATGAGCCGGGCATGAACACCCATGCAAAGAAAATACAGCCCATAAATGTGCAAAAACAAACCTTCGAAGAGGTACAAATATACTCACACGAACTGTATAATAATCTGCCTAGCAAAACAACCACGAAAGCGGTGTAAAACCGTTGGTGAAGGGATTTAAGTTTGCTCTCTTGTAACTTATTATTTTATTTGTACCAAATGATTATCTTAAATGGTGTGGGTTGGAGATGCGAGCTAAGTCGCATTCACATGTGGTGAACACACTACGCGATGGACAGGGTGAAGACGAATTTGTGCCCACTCTTAAGTGATTTGAAAATAGCATCTAAAGCTAAGCTTGGATCCATTGATAACTACTTCTAAGGCTATGCTTCAATGCAGACAAATTATGGGCGGCAGATTTCAATAATGTTTTCATCCCCAACCGTCTCTAATGTCACCATTCTTGACTTCAATTTTTGTTGTCTGCGTTTTTTTAGAATTATTCTAAAACCAAGCAAAGGGAAATCCACAAGGAACATAAATCCAGGATACGGATATACTTTTCATCTTTAAGGAATGCTTGTACGGTTTCACAATTGCAAAACGTAATCGTTGCCCAAATCTCTTGAATGTATTTTTATGTTTGCACAAAGCCACAAACAAAATATAGATACGGTCTTCTAATGTAAAACCACCACAAAGAAAACTACAAAAAAAGACGTACCACATAAATCTATAGTTGATCATCAAATAATAAAAACAAGGTTTTCTCTAAAAACAAAGACTTTTAATAACGACTGCAAGAACAGAAAAAAAATATGAAACACCAAAAAAGACATGTTAAATGTTTCATTAGATACTATCATATATATGCATCACACAAACATTATTTTGTTTTTTTTAGTTTTTTTATAACAGCCAAGAGAGGTTTTGTTGTTATTGAACCAATGACTACCAAAACCTATAATCTAATAGACTAGTACAAAGGTTATGCACAACCCCCTATCATTCAACCCTAATAGACAAAATTTTAAAAAATATCCAATCAAGCAAATTTCTAAAACCTAGAAAAGATTTCATCACCATCAGAAATTTTATCACTCGGATTATTAATTTATAGCTTGCTATACTATACCTCACCACCATACCATAAGACACTTTCATATTCTTCTTCTTTCTTCAAGTTGCTCATGACTTATTATGAACCCATTGTCTTCTTCATCCTTCGCTTGGCAATGGCATTGTCTTTAACTCATGCACTGTGGCTCTAATCTGCTCTTGAACCAATTCCAATCTCCTCGAATACACTTCCAACTCCAGAATCCGCTGTCTCCTCCACCGTTCTTCCCCTACTGCCTTACCTCCTCCTCCCACACCAAACCCTAGATTCATCGACGGCATTAGCATTGGGCTTAACACACCTAAACCATGAGCACCGCCACCAGGGAATCCTCCCATTGCAGCCATCATCATTCCCGTTGTACCATTCATCATTTCCTTGATAACGGGCGATACACAATTCCTCACTGTCTCTTCTATCAATCCACCTAGATTCCTTCCCTCGATGAAATCACCACTAGCAGCCACATTCTCGTTGAGGTTAACATTCGTAGCTGCGTTTGGTGTCGGCACATCACATGGAGCAATGGGTTTGTCTTCATCGATCTTCCCTACCCTTGATCGTGATCGTTTTCTCGACCCACTAGTGCTACTCATAGTCACTTTCTTCTCAAACCCGTTTTCAGAATCAATGTCCACATTGAGATTAGCAATGGGGAAGTTGCCATTGGTGTGGTTGTGGTTATTGGTTTCCTCGAAATCCATCGCATTGTTATCTTCAAACCCTATGATTTTCCCAGTTTGATTCCAGATCTTCCTAGAGATGTCAAAAGTGGCTTGATCATGAGGGCTTTTGAAGAATACCTCTTTACCGGAGCTGATCTTGCTCATGACGTTCCGGTACTTCTTCTTCAGCCGCCGGAGCTTCTCCACAAGCTGGTTCTTGTTGAAATCCAATTGAAGCTTCGATTTGATCTGCTCGTAAAACGGCGCCGTGTCAGGCGGATGCGAGCTGCTACCACGGTGGTTCGTTATGTAGTCAAGGAAGCCACGGAGGAGCTCGATCTCGTCCTCATCGGTCCATAGCCTCTGGAAAAGACGTCTAGAGTCGTCAATCGGTGGTCTCTGATGGACGATCTCGGTCATGCGGTGCCATTTCGGTTCGGAATCTACAGGAATCGCGGCGACGGGTACGGCGGATCCGGCAGGAAGTGCGACGGTTACGGTGCCTGTGGAGGAGGAAGACTTGGCTGTACAGGAAACCAACGGAGCCGCCGTGGAAACCATAGACGGAGAATTTAGATCTTCATATTCGGGATCGTCTTCGTCGGCTTCGTTTGGCTCAGGGAGAACCACATCTTCGGTCTCACGCAAATCCTCATCGGAATCAGTCT